AGTCGATAGTTGGTGGGTGGGTGAGCCGACGCGTGGATGGCCTAAGGTTGTCTTGGGGGACCGAACCACTTCAAGGAGACCGAACCACCAAGTTTGGTGCGCTTAATAGTGCTCAAATGAAAGAGTACATACCCAGAAGAGTAACATCTAGCAAGGACACGTCAGTTCCAGCTGGAACTGACAAGTAAAGCAGAGTGCAGAGGCAGTTGCAGAAGCTGGAACAACAACCGCATTAGCAGCAGCGGCGGCATCCGTAGTAAAAGCAGCAGCTGCAGCACTGGTAGTAGTAGTGGTAGTAATAATAATAATAATAATAATAATAATAATAATAACAGCAATAATATTAATTTCTACAAGCATCATGTACAAGGTATACAGGCCTACCTGACATCAGTGACATACTACTATATAGAAATCCCCTTGTTATAAGAACGGAACACAGCAACAGGCCTACTGGCCTATGCGAGGCAGGTCCAATTCTCCCACCGGCTTAAGCTCACTGACCTAGTGACCTTAAGCTCACTGACTCATTGACCTAGTGAGGTCAGACACGTCACTTAATACTGTTGAATGGAGCTTGATTCAAGGAATGGAGTTATCCTACCTTCCCTCTGTCATGGATCAAATTTGATTACTAATGCCCGAGGCGCTGTACAGCTCTTCATCAGTGAAGCACCGAGCAGAGCCTCTTGCTACACCAGTAGTTCACTGATGATATCTAGTCATGGGTTATATACACTAAAAATTTACATTGCAGTGTACACGTTTAGTTTAATTTTCTTCAATAAGGATAAAATTAGTCTTGATGTTAGTTTACAAGTGTCTTAATGTTACCTTAATGAATCTTATTCGTGCAGCCGATAGGCTTTAAATCTAACACGCTAACTTGTCAGTAAAACAAAAATTCTCCTAGTTAGTTGAGCACCATTGTGATCGCTTTATGTTGGTGTTTATAGGTGATATATATTGCGCAGGCAGCCAAGTCTTAAGCTATCCTTAAGACCGTGCCACCGTTGACAAAGCCACGGTGACACTAAAATTAAAACTTCGAGTTTTTATCAAGCATCCTCAGTCTTAGGTTCCGTATTTACTTTTTGCATATGAAAAAGTTTCGTGTTTGTGAATTATTACATTAACTATTGTTAATGTATATTATACAGTAGAACCTCTGTATTCGGATGCACCTTTATTCGTAAAATCCAGTATTTGGAAAAAAGTACCGATATTCCCAAATATCACTATTCGGAACGACGCACACTTTTTGAGTTCTTGTGATTTAATTGTTGTGCAAGAAAGGTATAAGATACCGACAATATGAAAGTTAAGACACATGTGCAACATCTGGATATCTTTATTGTAGACGTTTCGCCATCCAGTGGCTTTATCAGTACAGATTCTAGGACATAATTGGAAGACAGTAGAACTATATACAAAAGATGAGGTAATCAGTCCCTCAGCCTTGGAGTTAGTGTTCACAGCATCGTGGTGGAGGAGAATCTGGAGCAAAGGCAAGAAGAGTGACGGTTATGTAGGCTTCAGTGGATAAGGACGTGCAGCAGACGAGGGCATAGTCACTGGTAGGCGGGATTCCCCAGTGGAAGTAGGTCCTTCCCAAAGAGATGGGTTAGTTGTAGCAGCCGTGAAGAAGGTCTTGTAGATGTCCTCTGAACCAAGATTTAATTTTTTTTTTTTGTATAATTTTGTGTTATTTTTATTTTATTATTGATCATGGCCCCGGGTAAAAATAGCGAAGAAAAAACCCTAAAAGGATCTTAAAGAGGAAATTACTTCAAAATACGAAAATGGAATAGGTCTTGTTGACCTAAAGAATATGGCATGTCAACATTACCGTATTTTCTGTTATGAAAAATAAAGGCGCAGTAAAAAGTGCTAATGTGACAACAGGAGTTAAAATTCTTGCAGAGTTCATGTATGATTTCTTGCTTGTACATGTTATTTTACAAGTTTAATTAACCAATATTCTGACTTAAAAATGATCTGTGAGGAATAACTTTCAGGGTCTGGAACGAATTAATTCAGTTTACATTATTTCTTATGGAAAAAATATTGAGAAAATTCAATATTTAGAACACTCAAGGAACCAGTTTATTCCGAATACCGAGGTTCAACTGTAATTGGTTACAGTTGATTATATTAACCTTACCAAATAACACACGCAGAAAAATTGGTTTAATAAAGATAAAGTAAGAAATACGTTAAGCGTTAGAACAGATTGCCATATATGGGCAGTATCATAACAGTATTACTGCCGGTAATCTGAAAACAATGCGCAATATGGCAAGTCTGGACTGATAATCAGTGCGAAGTGGCGTCATAGCATACACAAATAACCATCAAGGTTTGTTTGGTTTGCTATCTAGTGTCATCCTGTGAGGGGGATAATACAGGACATACGTATTGGGTAACACTCATGGTACCTGCTACTGGCTCAGGGGATCACTGCACCTGCGACCAGTACTCTGGTCATGCCTGGTTGACAACCTGATCAATCATGCTATTGCTGCTTGCGGCAGGTACTGCGACGTGGGTTTACCTGCGACGAAAGCACCACAACCCAGCCATTCAGGAAAGGTTTGGATCAATTTGTTAAATTCCCTATTTGAAGACAATAATACATATATTGGCTTTTTCCCTTTCATATTTACAAGATGAACCGTCTTAAACCCATTGTACTAAGGACGTATCTCGTACAGTAGTTCTGGTGTGACACGCCTTTCACTGGGGGTATTTTGTAGCATCTACCTTGCTTCCTGCATTCGCAAGTAATGGTTTTCAGTATGTTTTAGTTGTAAATTATGAAATCTTTCTGGCCAGCACACCAGTGAGTATAGTTCGGAGTGTTTAGACATTCCGAATAATTAAAGTATTTGAAATCATACAGGTAGTGAAGATTTTCTGCATTCTCCTAATTTACAATTTTCACTACCTTTAATGGGGGCTTTTGTTTACAGTAAGAGACCATCCTAGGACAAAAATAGAAGGTAGAAGCTTGCAAGTACTGGATCAACCTAGTTGTGGAAGTTATGTGGGCTTGCGGGCCGCTAGCACCAACATACTGGTTAACCAGGCTGTCAGCAAGTGTAGCTTCACTCAGACCTGACTGCAAGGGTAGTTCTCATGTGCAATAACTTGAGAAAGTCTCTTCTGATCGTTTTCAAATTTTCAGCACAGCTGTCCCCTCAAGGCCTTGATTGTCGGTGAGGGTCTCTTGAACCGTTGTGCTAAAGTTATCCTCCCTATCCTTGGATCGAACTCTAATGCTTCTCATTTCTTGGTATGCTCGTTTTCTTACAATAATTTGTAAATGCCTCATTAAATCTGCTTCAAACCTTTAATGTCAGTGACTTGAGAATGCAACTTCTGAGCAGCTTTAAACTTAGCACTAGTGTATTTTGGGATATTAGTCTGTGCAATAACCAGAGAATGTCTTTATAGTTTTCTTTAAACTTTAGAAGCCGGTGCGTCTTAGTGGAAGGCTCAAATTGGTTTTGGGCTGTTTCTGCCAATTTATCATTTGTAATGAAGAATTCAAGATACTAATTTTTATGCAGTAACTTGTGAATTCCTCTTCTGATTGACTTCAAATCTTCAGTGCTGAGATTTAGCTGCATTTAAAATTTATGCTGCATTCTGTGCTACTCCTTTTGGCTGTATTGGGTCTCCTGTACGTACGTGGTGGTGGTGGTTTCAGCAGCATCTGAATGAGAAGGGAATGGGAAAAATATCAATGATGTGGATCAACCCATTTTGTTCTGGTGCCTCTCTTTACTTTAATTAAAGGGGTATTTCTCCATATGGGGTTTCTCCTCATGCTAATTGGAATGCTGCAGTATTTGTTGAATCACCGGAACTGGATGGGGTCACATTTTATGGCAGGCTACTGGAAGTTGCTTGCGGATCCAGGGGTGGAGGCTGAAGGAGCATACGCCTAGTATTTTTCCTGGTTCACCCTTGCTCATTATTATCTGCTGTAGGTACTCTCTATCATTACAGGCTATTTGCAAGCCTCGCTCTGTTAATTTTAAGGGAGTCATCCTAGTAATTGTACACTGATGAGTGTAGGTGGTTCCAGGGAAATTCAGCACTGCTGATTGCATTAGTAGGATGTTGGGATTTAGTTAAGGATTATGACATTGGTTTATTGTGACGAAGATCAAATTCATGAAATATATGATGCATGTATAATATATACATCTATCAGGTATCATTGCATGTATTTTGTGCACATTTCACCGGCATAGTGGAAAACTGCCCTCATAGTTTCAGGAACGCTAATGTGTCTTACACAGGATTATTTATATTACGGTTGGACGAAGGTCAAAGGTCACATCAGTAGGTCATATGTAGAGTCGCTGGAGATTATCTGGGTTAAAGTTCAGATTCAGATTTTTATTTTACATTTTACACTTATTGATTTTTTTTACCACTCCCTTTAACTTCGTCTTCTTGTGTTGTCGCATGCATTGCTGACTTTTAAATATAATTGTGTTTCTTCTTGACCGCTTTAGCAGAGAATGTCTAAGCATACAGTACGAAATTTTATATGAAATGGTAAGCATCACCCCTCACCTTCATTTAATTGGCTAGTTATCGTTCTTCAGCGTTACTAGCAAATAAGGGAATATTCCATCACGGGTAGTGTTAGGTCGGGTGATCACAGGTATTTCCTAATCGTTATCGGTATCTTAACGATAGTGATTCTAGTTTAATCTAGTGCGTTGTGCTGAAGGCCAGTTTTGCTATGGTGGTTGGGGGTGGTGAGTCGGGAGACACTTGGACCAAAAAACGAGGATCAACTTAATAAATATGACGAGGATTTCTTACATGCTGGATCTTCCTACCTGTTACTCGCCAGGTTCAACACAGACATCTCGATGTAAATGGTTTGACGCGTAGCCAGCAGTCAATATGTGATTGCACTCCAGCACCGACTCGTGTGGAAGGTAGTAATATATTTACAAGATTGTGCGGATTGGCAACTATTTCGTGGTAAAAACCCAGTCACTCTGAAAGCTGACCAAGATCTAGTGAGACGGTTGTACGTGTAGGCAGCAAGTGCCATATTGTTCAGTGAAGTGCTTGTGAGCTGTACAATCTGGCAACTCATGGTCATCACTGCAAGTGGCATTATGTCGTACAGGAATCTTGTCATCCTTGCTTGTACAGACAATGAGTGGTACACGTTTTCATAGACACTTGAGTTATATGTAAATATACTGCAGTAGTCCTGTTGGCCCATGCTAGGACAGGTCTTAAAGTTTAGCGATTGACTCCTGAGACGGATATCTTTTATAGGACAAATCAAATTACAACCAAACATCATTAACCATTTTCTGTATACTGGAAAGAAATGCATGAAGAGAACTCGCCAAACACACTTAAAGAAATTATTCAGTTCTAAGAAGAGACAGTTTATAAGGTAAATATCACATAGAGTAATAATTGTCCCGGGAATGGTTTCGTAATTTCTACATGTTACTTCGAAGCCTAGGGTTTATTAATTGTAAATAGAAGTACAACAATTCTTAAAGTTTACCATCATTTTAAATGCTTGAAGCAGTGAAAGGGGACTTGAAATAACTGTATGGCTATAGTTACCGACTGCTATTCGGCGGATCTCGGGCAGTCCTAAATTATTAACCAAAATATTGGCATTATGAGTAACAGCCATGAATGATAATTAGGAATTCCAAGACTAAACAGGGAAATTCTTTTACCCTAATTTATCTTCTTTTTCTCTGCTTCTTTTCTTACGCTATCTTAAGAATAACGCTTTTCATTAGCCAGAAACTTATAACACTCGCTCATAAACGGGAATATATTAAAATTGGGAAGCGTAGTTCATCTAGTGGAGGGTTTCATTGCGGCTGCCGCAGTATTAACTGCTGATCTCACGTCATAACTACTAGCTACCGGTTTTTGAGGACTTCTAGCCTCCTGGGCCCTATACTTGAGTTGGCATCAGTCTCTTCGTCATTGTCATTCAGGTCGCTTCATTTCCTAACCATCTTGAGACTGAAGAAATGTCACAGTTGCGTCTACAGTTTCCAGTTATGTCCCTGTCTACCCTGTCAAGACCCTTGAGTATCTTGTACATCGTAATCATGTCTCCTCTGATTTGATATGTTCATGTCGGTTATGTATCTTGATAGGTGGTATCATTAGAGGTGGAATTTTATATGAGTTAGGTTATCATAACTCTTAGCCTGTAAATAAAATTGTGTAAAAGTAGATCATTAAAAATAGGCTATTATAATGTGTGTAGTTAAGATTTATATTGTAGGTTATGTTATATGATATATAATTGTGTGTGTGTGTGTTGTGTTGCAGGTGAAGTGGCGACCTTCGCCCATTGGCCGTCAGAGAGACGATGAAGCCAGTATACGTGCGGACAGAGAGTGGCGAGAACAGCAAGCGAGCCAGCTGCTATGTGTGTGGCTACCCACGTTGTGCAGAATACCCGCTAGCGGTGAGGCAGCAGGAGACGGGGCCGTACTTTCCGTTCCTGGAGACCCACGAGCCTCCTGACGGTTCGGAGCCTCCGTCGGCCGACGGGCGCGTCCTCGCGTGCTTCCTCTGCTACTCGTACCTGACGCAGCAGTGGCAGCTCTATGAGAGGAACAAGGTGCCGCCCGTAAAACGCATCTATTGGCTGAAGCGAGTGGACAACGGGCCCTACACGGGCGTAGAGGTGGGCATGCAAACTGAGTATGCATCACAGCTCCTGGGTCTGACTCCTGACCCGCCCCCGACCCCGACCTCAGACCTTAAAAGACCAGGAACTACTGGAGGTGCGAGAGCTCAGCCGCCTGCAGCTGTTTCTGTCACACCTTCGGCCTCCGTTGAAGTAAAGAGATCAAGGATAATTCCTCCGCAGCCTCAGCCCCCCAGTTTGCCATTGCCTCCCCCAGGGGTACCGCCTTTGCCGCTGAGTCTGGCAGTAGCTCAGGTGGGCCCCCAGCAGGAGGCACTGGATCTGTCCCTAGATGGTCGACGGGGAACCAAGCGTGATAGGGAGGACGACGTGGCGTACCGGGACCCTCGGCCGCCCCTCGCTCTCCCTCTTAGGACTGAGGTGCTGGACTTGCGGATGCCTGACAAGAACGCCACCACCGAGGTCTGCTACGTCTGTGGCGACCACCACAAGAAGGGCACCTTGGTAGACATATATGCCAAACAACAAAGTGGAAGTTGCCCTTTTTTTCCGAGCCTGATGCTGCACCCTCGTCCCAGTAAGTCGCATCCTATGGAGGCCTCGGGGAGGGTGCAGGGCTGCCGGGAGTGTTACACCCACTTGCAGCTGCAGTGGGATACTTACGAGGCCCATCATATTCCGCACGGAGAAAGAAATTATTCTCTTCGTAAGAGATCATCTCTGATGCAGGATTGCACCGCTTTTGTGTGCTATAAGTGTGGCCACGAGTGTCCCTCTAGTTCGTTATGTTTAATATACTGCAAGCCCAACTCTGAGAACGAGCCTTACTACCCGTTCATCCAGCAACTGGACCCTCCAGAAGGTGCATCACCCATCTCACCGCAGGGGATGGTGCAAGTGTGTTGCGTGTGTTACAAAACAATCCCGCAGCAGCAGAAGGATTTTCAGGAGAGAAGAGGAGACAGTAGCAGCAGAAAATCACCAGAGATAAAGGGGGAAGGAGTCGGTGTGGGAGAGGAGGAGCGTGGTGGTAGTACCTCTCAGCCAACACCAGTACCTCTCATTCCCCACCAGTTGTTACCCCGTCCTCCTTCTGCGTCTGCCACCGACACCGACTCCCATGTGGAGGAGGCCACCTGCTACCTATGCCACCAGAACCATAGCCGACAGGCCATGCATTGGCTGGCCATGGTGGCTGATAGTATCACTCAGGATGGCCTGTACTTCTCTTTCCTCAAGTATTTACCGAGAATTGGTCAGAACAGTGTGGTGGAAAATGGCCGGGTGCTTGCTTGTTCTCCTTGCTATCAACACCTCAGCAATCAGTGGGCAGAATACGAGAAAGATAAAGTTCCAACAGAACATCGTCAGTTCTCCCTGAGAGCCATGCCTTCAAACTCTCAGTCTCCGCGTCTTACCCCAGGCCCCAACCTCTCCTCACCCGGAATGTCTCCCCTCTCAGATAGCTCCCCACCACACGGCTTCTCGGCGGCGGCAGAGGCGCATCTTAAATCCACGGAGAACGTGAAGAAGGCTCCTTCAGGATACGTGGGGCAGCCTCTCCATACCCTCGAGGTGGTACCTGCAGAACAAGACCCAAAGGCTCCCACTCTGCCCGTCATCACTACCCAGAACGCTCTCAGTATTGCCATTAATTGCTTCGTCTGTAGTTTTCACTCCAAGCCCGGACAGACATACGTTCTGAGGAGCAAACCACACGGCAGTGAGCCTTTCTTCCCCTTCTTGGGGAAGCACCAGTCAGCCCACCCGGAGGCTCGCGTCGACGACTCATGCGTGTTATGTTGCCTCTGCTGCTTCCATTCCCTCAACCTGCAGTGGCAGCGCTACGAGAAGGAACAAGTGGCCCACTACGCTCGACTCTACGATACCTACAATTACTCTTGTTTTATATGTAGTCTCAAAACCTACCGCAAAAGGCTCTACCTCCTCCCTGTCAAGGTAAGTATTGAAGGCTTAGTTGGCTCAATAGTTTCCATCTTCCACAATAGTTACCACCTTTCAGATGGTTGCTTCATAACGTGGTCTCCCCATTTTTGGCCATGCATTTGGTTTGCACCTGAAAACGACAGCTTTTTCAGCGATCTGAAAGTGTTAGTGTTTTTCTGGAAGTGTTTTATTTTTTGCAATTTATGAGACAAATTGTTTTATTCATGATAAAATCAGGTGGCTGTTTTGCTTTGTAATATAAATGAACTGTGAATCGTCCTTAATCTACTGGCATCCTTTTGTAACCTATAGATTGTCTCTTTGGGTCATAGATGGCTTTAGCGTATTGTTATCTTGTTCCGAATTAGTCTTATAACTTGGGTATAAAGTGATAGTATTCATTTCCAACACAACTAGTTAAGAGATAAGTCATTAGTTTGCATCATTTCTTACCACTACCTTTACCTTACCTTTGATAAGTTCCGAGAGTTTTTCAACTCCCGGAGCCCGGGCATGGCCTTAACTTGTCTGGTGCTTGCCTGGTCACCTAGGCTTTTGCTGTTGGTGGTCTACAGTCCCATATATCCATCAAAACCTGGTTGATCTGGCACCTGGTGAAGATACTTGTCCAGCTTCCTCTTGAAGACTTCTACACTTGCCCCAACAGTGTTTCTGATATCTTCTGGTAAGATGTTGAATAATCTGGGACCACGAATGTTGATACAGTGTTCCCTTATTGTGCTCACTGCACCCCTGCTTTTCACTGGGTTTATCTTGCACTTCCATATCTTTCGTGCCAGTATGTTGTTATAGCAGTGGGCAGATTTGGGACAAGGCCCTCAAGTACCTTCCAGATATATATTATAATGTATCTCTCCTCCGCTCCAGTGAACACATATTTAATACTTTAAGGCGTTCCCAGTAATTTAAATGTTTTATTGGCTCAGTAACAAGAAGCTTGGCAGACGGTGCAGGATACCTCCTGTTAAAAGCAGAGAAACGATGAGTATGCTGGAGAGAGAAACCATTAAGTGTAAAGGGTCCATGACTAAACACCCTCTCATCATGAATAAGGGGGATTATCAGTAAACCTTGGCTGTCTTCAAGAGGGAGCTTGATAGATTCCTCAAATCAGGCCCTGATTATCCGGGTTGTGGTACCTAAGTTTCATTATTATATTACGCGTGATGGGCACAAACAGCCTGATTGATGAGGTCAGCAACCAGGAGGCCTGGTCTGGGACTGGGCCTCAGGGGCGGTGACTTTTGGCAGCAATTACATGTAACCCACAGGTGTTATATTAATGGTATAAAATACTAACATGTCAATAAATATGACTCAAGTGCAACACCATGATGTCTTTATTGCCAAATAAAGATACCCAAGTACTGCACAAGTGTCGTATTCAGTATTTAATTTTCCCATAGTGAGCTCGTTGGCGAGTTCTCCTAATAGGAAGTGTTTCAACCTTTACTAATAAGGGGAATTTCTTATAGACAATTAATTGGTATTATTATTATTATTATTATTATTATTATTATTATTATTATTATTTATTATTATTGCATTCATAGATAAGAGCTAAACCCACTGGAGTCATATAGCACCTGAGGACATGAGAAGCAGTCAAATTTGATGGACGTGAAGGGCAGCTCCCATTCCTTAGATAAAAAAACCCTCACTGAAAAGACACAAAAGCGGTATTAGGATATTTATTAAGTAGATGTTCGCCCAACAGTACAAAAACGAATTAGGGATCATATACAGTAGGTGAAGGGTCAGGTGTTTCATGTGTAGGGGTGGGGAGGGGGGTCCGATTGATAGTTGCTCGGTTTGGGCAGAATTTTGTGTAGTGGTGTTGTTAGCAGCAATGTGATAATTCGGCATCTTTGAAGTTCATTAGATAGTTGTGGGAGTTCCCGTGTGCGGGCATTGTTTAATCGTCTTTTTGATATGATTACTGGTGTTCCTTTATATGTTGTTCCAAAGTTCTAGGTTCTTTGTAACGTGTGATTTCTCTTTGTAACTAAATTATTCTTTGTGGTGTGTGATTTTTCTTAGTAACTAAATTCTTGATGTTGGATGCGATGTTAGCTACGTTGTTTTTATTCTTGGCAAGAAGGCTGTCTAAAATCTGGCTGTCTGTAAATACTAAGAATATGTCCGGGGTTTTTGCCTGGAAGAATTATATTATCGTGTCTCGAAGCATTATCAATTTCGTCCCAAAGAAGTCTTATTTGATTGCTCTCAAGGCTTGGAGGTTTGTATTGAGCACCAAAGATCATTTTATTTCCTCCAGAAATTTGCAATCAAACATAATCACCTAAATTTTCGGGAATGCTTGAAGTCCCAGGAATGTAGGCGAGAAAGATACATCATAATCTAGAACTGGAAAACTCTGGGAAGATTGGTTCCCCATCCGCACATTAAAATTGCTCCTTACGTAAGCAAAAGGCTGGGCAGACTGAAAAATAGCCTCAGTGAGATGCAGGGGTGCAGCGAGTACATTGAGGGAATTCAATGAATGTAAAAGGTCCAAGACTTTTCAACATCCTTTAATAATATGTAAAGAGAATTATCAACGGACCCCTTCCTGTCAAACGGGGGGGGGGAGCTTTAAAGTTAAGTCTGAGAGTGGTCCTACTAACACCAACAGCCTATTAGTCCTGGTTTGAGACAGAGCTGCTGGACCGATGACCCTCCAAAATCGAATACGGGTAGGCTATAGGTATACAGTACTAATTGCTGTTCAAACGTTTATTTTGTAAACTTGAAATTACACACACATCCAAGCATAAAAATATTGCGTAAAGTATTTTAATTGTGACACTTTAATACTTTTTTTGGGGGGGTTAATAAAAAAAAAAACTAGCGATGGGGAGCTATGCTGGCTGGGCTCAGGGTAGGCCTCTCTGAAATCTTCAGTCAGTCTTGCCCTCACCACTCCCTAGCCTCGTAAATGTACTGCTGTCGAATTCTAAACAGTTACGGATGTAAAGTAAGCAGCAACTCTCACTCAAACTTCGTTATTCGGTGTAAAATGAATTTCAGGAAAACAAAAATGATAAAAGTAACATTGGAACAGCATTATAATAAATGTCATATGAATACCGACAGATTATATTTACAAAGATACAAAACGCAATTCTCTGCAACTATAAAATATGGAATGATTACAAGGTATATGCAGAGGTGTACATCTTCAGCTATATACATTTAGAGATTACTTAAATTCTTTTAGGAATTTAAATATTCTTGGTGTTAGTATGCAAGTGATTTGCAGTCTTAATGACCCACGTGCTATGGATTGTTAACCATTAACTGGAATGGGTTGCTTAATCATGCAAAATGGTGTAATGGGGACTCTGAGGGTGGTGCTGGTTGCAGACAGTGGGAGACAAGTGCAGCTATTGTTAACATCAATGTGAAACTGGTGAGATAGTCTCCATGGATGGTGTTGTAACAAAGCTGGCCGTGTAGCAAGTGTTGGTGATCCACACCAAACCTTCGTCGAGAGCATCCATCCCTTCCCCCCCCCCCTCCTTATAATGTAGCTCTAGTTCCTGCATTTACGTGCGTATGTTTTTGAAGGATCTACGCCGCGTTAGTCTTTATATAAATACCATTTCCCAACAGATGTTTATTGAAGATTGATGTCTCTTAAATTACATTCGCTTGTAAGACGAACAGTGAGGGGAGACATGATCGAAGTAAGTAGATGAGTATTAATAAAGGGGATATAAATAGTCTTGAGGATATCCCTTCAAGAGAGATTCGCAATAATGGATTCGAATTAGATAACTGTAGATTTAGAAAGAATATGTGGAAGTATTGGTTTGCTGATGTGCCGTACTCTATTCAAGATTGATGGGCTGACCACATCGATTCAAGGTTGAGGGACCGATTACCTCATTCTCCTCCTGTTCTTCAAGCTTCTCCTGTGTATGGACTGATGAAGCCACTGTATGGCGAAACGTTTCCTTAATAAATATGGTTTAGAAAGACACGTAAGCAAACACTATAACATATTTATTAGAAAACGTTTCGGTCCTGGGACCTTGATCACTTCTAACATGTTAGAAGTGATCAAGGTCCCAGGACCGAAACATTTTCTAATAAATATGTTGTAGTGTTTGCTTACGTGTCTTTCTAAACCAACTTGTCGGTATTTATTACCAAGGTTTATACCTTAATAAATGTACCAAGAGTTGCACATGTGTCTAATTTATCAACATGTGTCTTAATTTCATCTTGTCGGTATTGTATACCATTCTTGTACGATGTAGTAGATTATTATATACAGGGGTGGGGAACCTGCAGCCTTCTAGGACATTAAGTGCGGCCTTCTGAATGAATTATTTTTCTTGAAGTTATTATAAAATAATCAACTTTTTAACAAATAACCAACATTTTGCGGTATTTACAATCAAAATTTCTTCAGTGCATCCTTATTAGATTACAGCTAACTAAAATGTAGCTTTCCAACATAGAAAAATTTCCCCAGCCTTAAATTATTAGTGTTGTGAAAAAATTGCTCTAAAATTAAACGATGTAGTAGAAATGTTGTGTAAAAGTTGCGTTAAAATAAAACGATGTAGTGGAGTAGGCTGTGGAGGCCAGGCTTTGCCAGAACAAGTTGCTGTCTCCCGTTGAGGTGGTGCCGATCATGTATCCACGTCGAGGATTACTACCATCATCCTCTAACCCAGCCAGACTATTGTTACATCCTCCATTTTAATCAATTTCTCTGATACAAAATTAAATATTACGTACTTCACATTGATAAATATAAATCAGCATTTAGTATTAGTTAAAATAAGCAGGTTACAGTAATGGCCTACATAATCAGAAGCTATCACGATAAGGGTAATTAGATTACCGAGTCTCAACACGGAGTTATTAGAGCCGTTCTTGACTAACAAATTTACTGACCTTCAGTAAGGCATTTGAGGCAGTGGATCATGATAAAGAAACGATGCTATGTGCTTATATTTTGGTAAGGCTTTATACAG